AAGGAAATCATCAGCAAAAAGCATACACCAAAGTACATCCTCCTGTAAATGTCCAGTAAGATCATCCATAATTAAAGCAAAAAGGTATGGGCTTAAAGTCGATCTCTGATGCAATCCAACAGAAATAGGAAAATATTTGGTCAATCCTCCTTCAGTTCGAACACAAGTAGCAACTCTAGTATAAATATCATTAAATGACTTGAATATAAGTCATAACAAAACCTTTCTTCTCAAGAACTCTCCAAAGGATATCTCTTGAAATCATATTTCAAGCTTTTTCTAAATCAATAAAAATCAAATGTAGATCCACGTATTATCTCTGAACTTCTCCATCAAACCTCTCAATAAATGTATAGCTTCTATAGTAGACCTGCCCGGCATAAATCCAAATTGATTAAGAGAAATCTTTGTAATACGTCTTAAACTACGTTCAATTACTCTCTTCCATAATTTTAAAGTATGACACATCAATTTAATTCCTCCACTTCAACCAAAAACAACAACAACAACAAAGCCTTAATCCCACAATGTGGGTTTGGCTACGTGAATCTTTTTTCTCCATTGCATCCTATTTAGTGTCATATTTTCTTTAGTTCGAATAAATTAAGATCATTTTTTATACAATAAGCCCAAGCTTCCTAGGTCTACCTTTGCCTTTCTTAACATAAATCAAATCTAAAACATCTACTCTTAAACAACTTCTCTCCTAATCGGATCATCAAATGGTCAACGATTAATGTTACCAAACCATCTAAGACAGCTTTCTCTAATTATGTTCGTCACAGAAGATACACCTACCCTATCACGGATATATTCATTTCGCATTTTGTCTCTGTGTAAAGCCACTCATCCACCTAGTCATTCTCATCTCGACAAGAATTAGAGTGACTTTTGTAAAGCCACACTATGAATATATCACGGATATATTCATTTCGCATTTTGTCTCTATGTGTAAAGCCACTCATCTACCTAATCATTCTCATCTCGCCAAGAATTAACTTAGTATTATGCTTCTCATTTAAAAGCCAACATTCAATGCCATAGAGCATTGCAGGTCTCGCCACTGTCTTATAAAATTTTCCTTTCAGTCTAAGTGGAACTTTTCTATCACACAAAAGGCCCGAAGCAATCCTCCACTTCAACCAACCAACCTGAATTCTACTATTAACCAACTTAAATTCTACTAATAACATCCCCATCTATATAAACATCACTTTGAACTAACATCCACATCTATATCACCATCACTTTGAACTATAGAACCAAGATATCTAAAATAATCACATCTTTTAATGATTTGATCCTTATAGTTACCACTCTGCCACTAAAGCTACTACTACTAAAATTACATTCCATTTATTTAGTTTTAGATACACACAAACGAAGGCCTATAGACTCCAATGTTGACCACCATAATTCAAGTTTTTCCTAAACTTTTTCTCTAGCCTTATCCACAAGAAGGATATCATCAATGAAAAACATACACTAAGATACATCCTCCTATATACATCCTCCTATAAATGTCCAACACCAAGGTGTAAACATCCAGTAAGACCATCCATAACTAGAGCGAAAAGATATAAGCTTAAAGTCGATCCCTGATGTAATCCAACTAAATTTGGGAAATAATTGGTCAATCCTCCTGTTCGAACACAACTAATAGCTCTAGAAAACATATATTTAAGTATAAGTCATATCAACACCTTTCTTCTCTAAAACTCTCCAAAGAACTTATCTTGGAACCTTATCATTAGTTTTTCCTAAATCAATAAAAATCATAAGTAAATTTTACTTATTCTCTATGTAATTCTCCATCAAACCTCTCAATAAATGTATAGCTTTCATAGTAGACCTGCTAGACATAAATCCAAACAAATTATGCGAAGTCTTTGTATCACGTCTGAACCTATGTCCAATTACCCTCTCCCATAATCTTAAAGTATCACAAGTAAACTTAATTCCTCTTTAATTTGCACTCTTGTGCATCCCCTTTATTATTAAAAACGTGACCAAAATACTCTTCGTCCACTCCTCAAGCATCTTTTTAGTTATTAAAATAATATTAAAGAGATTAGTAAGCCAAAAAACTCCTAAATCTCCTAAATATTTTCACACCTACTCCTAAATCTCCTAAATAAAAAAACTCCTAAATCTCCTAAATATTTTCACACCTCAATTGAGATATCATCAGGTCCATATTGATATTTCATCCTTTATTTTATTCAAAATATCTTCAACTTCTTTTTACTAATGTAACTGTTAAAATAAAATTTTTGATTATTATTAATGTTATTAAGGTCACTAAGATCAATCGTATTTTCAGAAACTTTATTGAAAAGTTTATCAAAATATCTCACCCACCTATGTTGAATATCTTCCTCTAAGAAAAACACCTGCAAAGTTTTGAGCATCACAAATTGTTCTCTTAGAGTTTCTACTGGCCATCTGAATTTTTTTCAGTTCTCTAAGTTTTTACATTTAAACCAAGTTTTATAATATTTCTTATATTTTATCATTATTACATATTATTATTACACCACCAACTATTTTTATTTATACAAATTTTTCCTTTTGATTCTCCGAATACATCTTTTGTCACTTATTTAATAGTGTTTTTTATTCAAATTCGCTTCTTCATGAACACTTCTATTTTGAAATTCTAAAGTTCACTCATAAAAATAATTTTATTTATCTTTTAGGTGTCTCATTTAATTTTATGACAATGTTTTCTGGTATTATTTATCTTACAACTATTTATCTCAAAATCTAAAACTAATAACCGATGTTGAGAACTTAAATTTTTTACTTGGACTGATCTTACAATCTTTAAATTCTCAACGATCTCTCTTTTTCATAAGAAAATAATCTATTTGTGTTTTATTAAATTCATTCCTATGAGTAATAACATGTTTATCTCTTTTCTTAAATAAACAATTAGCAATAACAAAATTATGCGTTAAAATAAAATCTAAAATGGTTCTACCTTCTTCATCAATCACTCCAAAGTAATGTCTTGTTTAATCAAAACTCTGGCTTCTGAAGGCCGACTCAGATTAACTATAGGAATATCAGTTTTTAGGGGTTTATCGTAGACCATAGCTAAGAAGCAGAGGAGCTCATGATTGAAAAAATGAAACTTCAAACCCGGGAAGCACAGTCATACTAGAATGGTAGGAGGTTCAGTGAAAGGATCAAAATCGACCATCCATTTTAAAACTTTCAACACACGGTTATCTATTCGGAGTAGTCTTCTCACAAACAAATGAGCATAGTCTTCATCATCTAATAATTGAATAAGAATGTGTCTATCATCCAGCTTGCCTATCTTCTAGTCTCCTTTCAGATGCATTTGCTCAAAATCTTTACGAATTATATCGAGTTTAAGGTTTCCATAGAGGAACTTACCAACCAAGACCAAACGACAGGATGAAGTTAAGGTGAAGATATCGGCCTCATAGAAAAAGATTGCAAACTTATCATTCCTACGGGATGCTTTTTTGAGGAATCCAGTTTCAACGCTCTGAGCCAGAGTTTCATGGTATAGCTACGAGAACAAAGGCGGCATAGGAAAGTCCCGAAACAATCAGCACTTGCAGGGATGGAGCAGAGAAACCCTTCTTCTAGTCGCTCTGCACAGTCGATGACGCACGAAGCGACGCCGCACCAAAGTCAGCCGACGGAGCAGAGAACAGACGAAGGACGACAAATGAGGAAAATACTGCGAAGTGAATATCAAAGGAGCAGATGTCAGGATTCGCCATGAGGCGAGACCCCTGGCATAGCAAAGCAAACGATATCATGGTATATATATATATATAT